GTCACATCAGTCAGTTGCCCGCAAGCTGGATCAAAATGAGCGAAGGCCAGAAGCCGATTCAGCTCGGCCAACTCGCAAGTCAGCTTGCTGGGAAAGGTAGCTTCTAAGGGAATCCACAACCAATCATTCTGCAGGTTACACGTAACCCATGCTGAAAACATACTTTCCATAGGGCAGGGGGTTTTGGATGGACCTCAATTGCAGCGTCAACCGCCATGCACCCTAATCGTCCACTTTGATTCTGATCCTTCGACGGCCCGAAGGAAGATCCAAGCTTGGCCTAATGTGCCTGTTGGTTTCTTCGGGGATCCGGTCTGGTGTTGAAAACTGATCAACATGTGACTTGGCGAAATATCAAAACACACACTTGGGGTCGCCCCCCGTTCACACCCCACGTAGAACCCACACCAGCCTCATGTTGTTTTGTTGGTATGTCATGTTTTGGGTACCCCTTTGTGTGGTAAAAGGAAAACCCAAAAGGAAACCACCCCTTTGTGGGGGTGTCCCTTGTGGTAACAGGAATCGTGACTGTCGAGTCGTGTCAAGTCGCTGCACGGGTGGCATTCTGCAGCGACGCGCTGAAGGAGAGACCCAGGAAGCCCATCTCCTCGGATCGCTTGTCACCCTTGGGTGGGCTTTCAAAGGAGGGAAACGTCCCTTCCCTTTTGGGGCTGGTTTAAGGAACGTCAAACGCCATGTTGGCCGTTTATTTTAAGACATGGGTATGTACCAAAGTAGGGTGACGCCAGAAATGTGTGGAGTTCCCTGATGGTAACGTACGAGGTTCAATAAGCACACACATGATTCTCCAATGACCATGTCTGGTTTAGTTGGTCTGGAACAGAGCGAAAAAAAACTGGTTAAGCCACGTTCGGGCGCTTGTACTTGTCCCACAATGCGGCGCCCCTTCAGTATGGAATTTTGAAAAACACCCAGATGGACTCGCAGCTACTTTGACACTGGCTGGTTCAACCTTCAACATAATCCTTGCACCACCTGGGTCTAGTTTCGACGGTGCGCGTTTTTGGGGTGTGCAGGAAACCAAGCGGAAACCAGCTATCATTCTTCGGGGTCGCCAATGAAACAAACACTGGATGCGTGGCCCAAGCCCAATGCAGGCCGCTCGCGACCCTTTTCGCCGCAAGGATCCGAGGATTAGCTCGGAGGCTTCTTGGCCTTCTGCCCAGAAAATGTCCAGAGAGCCATGCCCCAAGAACGAATTTCCGTTCAATGCTAAATTGCCCTTGTTCGTCCTATTGAGAAAGGTCTGGTGTTTGTACCTTTGGCAGTCCCATCTTGTAAAAATCGCCTTCAGCTGTGGCAAAATGAACGCTCCGTTCCTCGCGATCTATGGGAAAAAAGTGTCCTCTATACAGCCGCAGGCGCACATGCCAGGGCGCCGTAGGCCTAGACTATGGAGATAAAAACTCAATGCTGGCCGCACTGCCCATTAGGAGCTGCGAAACTCAAGAAGACACTACCTCTTGGACAGAAGATCCCAACAGTTAACGTGCAACGAACGCATGATTCAAAGGAAGATACAATTATAAATAATTTGTCAGTGAATGGCTGACGACCCTTGGTCGTGCACCAACAGGCAGACCAACTTCAGCTCTTCCACTTACGTTCCCAGTGCATGGATGGATGGGAAGCAACACCTCTTGTCTGGTTCAATCCAGGGAACAACTAGCGAAGTCCACTGGATACAGGCCTGTTTGTCCAACATGCCAAAGTGGCTGCAAGGGATTTCTTTGAGGGTACCCTTCTTAGGGATAGGGGCACAGGGGCTCCAAAGGGACACCAAGCCATCAATCAAATGCCAAAGGAAAACCAAAGAAGAAACAAGAACCCAAACCAAGCCACAGGGAAACGCTCATTTGGGGAGCTTGAGAATGTATGAGAAGCTCCCAGCTCCGGGCAATTCGCTTCACTCCGCGAGTCCGATTGGAGCCTGGCACTGTCTGTGACTTGGCGACCATCTTTATGAACCCATCATCAGGCAATACACTAAGGTAAGTGACCGTCATCAGGTTGGTAGGAACCAGAGGTTTCAGAACGTACCTTCACATTTGCAGACGCCTGGGAAAAAAAAAGGTCCAAGCAAAAGCCTCTTTGTTTTCCGGAGCGGGTATCCAAGCTTTACCTTAGAGGCTTAAACAGGGTACCTCCTTCAGCTAGGGGGTAAAGGAATCCACCTGTTGCCAAGGGCAGCCTTCTCAGAAATCGTCTTTTGGGTAAGTGGGGACAACATTCGGGTGCGGATTCATGTCCACCAACCATATGGAAGGGTATTGGGAACCCCAAATTAAGAATTCATAAGCCCCTAGTTGATTACCACGGGGTGTCCCTTTTTAGCTGAGGTTCATCACTTTGGGAGGGGACCACATGACTAGGACGGGTTTCATCCGGGGCCAACAATCCATGGTAAAGAATCCCTGGGGGGCGGGGGGCATCACCATGGCTTTCAGTCCAAGCCCTTGCTGGCCTTTTACCCTTGCTAGCCGATATGGTTCATACCCTGAGTACATGACGGCACTCCTTAATTTGGGGTGGCCACCATATTCCAGCATCATCCCCTGGGATATCCTGAAGCCTTATTCTTTTGCCCCTGTTGTGGGACAGCTTTGGCATGGCTCCAAGAGGAACCAACAAACCAACAGCGTCTGATCTTTCCGATGACAAACCCTGGAAAACCCCTCAGCCTGTAAAGCGATGTGTGTCTTGTCAGCAAAACTTGTCAGTGGATCTGGGAATGTGTGGGTGCAGGTGTGTGTGTGTGTGTGCCACCCATCTTCTTCTAAATGCAGCATTCATACTACTCTGTGTTTGTTTCTTCAAAGAATCCAAGCCAAACTACCAAGGTGTACTGCATCGCATTTGTTCGGCACTTCCACTATTCAGGCATGCAGCTGCAGTCGGCATTTTGCTCTGGGACAAAAAATACTTGCTTGTGGATTGCGTGATGACCCGACTTGTTTCCGCATTTCAAAGGGCAGCATGGGCATGTCTTTTAATGGAGCCCTTGAACCACAACCCCAACGGTTGCTCAACAAGAGCACCAGCATCCAGGTAGCAAGTACATGATTTTACTTCCGTCAAAGACCGCTATTTCGCTTTGGGCTCCCAAGCCCGCTGACTTTGTCTCATGGCGAAGCTGCAGCAGGACGCTTCCTTTCTACAACCATGCAAAGCATGGCGTTCTTGATGTGGAATCATGACCCTTGCAAGCAAGGACCATAAGCTTGCCACGATAGCGTGACATGCACTTACTTGCACAACGCGCCTTAGTTGCAGAAAGGGTTGGCACACCCTTGACTTGGTGACAACGACTGCCAAAGCAGCGGGCATTACCTCCTTGATCTGTAGGACTAAGAAGCCTGACCATGTGGGTTGTGGGGCTGAGGTGTTATTCTTGTTGCATAGCCCTGGCATTAGCCTAACCCTGGCACAGCCTGGAGACACGAACGGACAAAGGTTTGGGGTAGGTTTAGGGTAGGCTTGGGGTAGTCCGTTCAAAGCTGGTTCAGGGCCGGCATCGTTTTGACATCCTCAGCATCGTTTTCAACATCCTCAGCATCACCAGGCTTTGGTTTAGGCTGGGTTTAGGGTGGGTTCCAGGTTGGCTCAGGGTTGGCTCCGGGTGGGTTCCAAACCTATTGAGAACAAATTTGGGGGTGGCTGTGTTTGCGGCAGATGGTTCAGTGCTGGTTTCTGGTGGGGCTACTTGAGGCTGGTCTCGGGTGGGTTTAGGGCCGGTTTTGCGTGGGTTTAAAATTGGCTTCGGCCAAGGCTTAAACACAACCGTGACCACCCTAAACCCAGCCTAAACCAAAACCTGGTGATGCTGAGGATGTTGAAAACGATGCTGAGGATGTCAAAACGATGCCGGCCCTGAACCAAACCTCTGTCCCACCGAGCCGCCAACCAACCAACCAACCAACCAGCCAGCCAGCCAGCCAGCCAGCCAACCAGCCAGCCAGCCAGCCAGCCAGCCAGCCAGCCACCAACCAACCAACCAACCAACCAACCAGCCAGCCAGCCAGCCAGCCAGCCAGCCAGCCAGCCAGCCAACCAACCAACCAACCAACCAACTAACCAACCAACCAACAACCCACACGCCAGGGATAGCCCTGTGGCAGGGCTAGGCAAAAGCAAAAACTTTCCTGGGTTGTGGGGGTTAACAAAACTGTGACTAAGCGAAGAATCGCTGATCAATTGCTATCCAGCTCGAGCATCTGCTGCTCCTGCTGCTGAAAAGAACCTGAAGGTGAACCAAATCCCAGTCTGAAAGAATCTTCAACGGCTGCATTCAAGTATTGGCGTCCCTATCCTCCAACTATCCGACAAAAGCTTCCCGGGTAAGGTGGAAAATCAAGGTAAGGGTTGCCGGGAATTAATTACATCGGTCCTGCCTCAAGCGGCAATCCACTGCACCCATCCAGGTTTCCTGACTTTCTACTCGTTGGAATGGTCTTGGGGTCTGTTCTCGGAATGACAAACTTGTTTCTTTTGGCACAGTCTGCCCAGGTTTGGGTGCTCCAAATGGAACATGAGTTGGCAACTCCAATGTCTCATGCCTATTGGCCATGGACAACAACGGAACAGGCAAACATGCCTCGGTCCCCGATCTTTCGGATGCTGCCCCCAAGTTCTTGGGTTCGATCTTGTTGATCCCAAATTGGTGACCCATGAACCTCGGGTATGAACCGCACCGCTAAGGGCCCATTTAAGGTCTGCACTTCGGTGTCCAAGTAGCAAGCGGATTGAAACCTACCTGGCGACCTTTCTTTGGGGTGCAGAGTAGATTGCAACACACAGGTTTTATTCGTGGGTTCCCGTTGCGCCAAACCGCGAATGTTTATTGACCTGGGCAAACTATTCCAGTAGAGGGGTTAGAATAAGGGTACCCTTTTTCTGTAGTCTATGTTAGTAGGGGAACCCTCCCCCACAAAAGGGTACAAGGGCGCTACTGTGGGACCTCGATGCATCTCGGGATCGCCTCAGAGGCCCTTGGGGATGAAGTCTCCCACAGAGGACTGGAACTCCGACTGGCGGTTGGGACTAGTCCGGCCCCTCTGTGCGGTGGCTTGGCTTCGGGTGACTTGTCAGGGAACAAAAACCGGTTGTCAATTGAACAAAACTATGGAGAACCTCCCCTTCTTGCTTGTCCGTAGGGCACTGGGTGGCTTCCCTTTGGCTTTCCTTGCAGCACCAACGAAAATGGGGCCCTTTTCAATGTTCACCCGGATGAAAAATGGTAGACGCAGATTTTGGGGGTGTCCTCTTGCAGCCAAACTCCTCGCTTTTCGCACGCAAAACATGTCCGTGTGGTTGCCTTTTATTTTGTCCTTCCCTTCAACAGCCAGTGGAAGGGCGTATGGCTTGTTCCCTTTGTGGAGACTTGAAATGGTGTTTGGATTCCATGTGTGCTTTCATGTTCTCCACAGAACCCATCTGTAGAGTTATACTAGGCTGGATCTTAGAGCTTGGACTGGAAGGCCGCAATGAGCTCGCAATCACAAACCAGATAACTTTCATAGGCTTCATCTACTAGGTCCCCCTGTAGTGCCCTTTCTCACCCTTTTTTGGGGGAGATTCGGTTCCCCTAAAATAGACAAAACCGAAAAAATACTGTTGGTACCAACTTCTTCTAACCTCTCAAGTCTGGAGGACCTAGTCTATGAAAGATGAAGTATTCAAGCTGTTTGACTCGGGCTCCGGCAGACATTGTGGGATCAACTGGCTGGCGTTGGATTCTTGCTAGACTACTGCGGAGGGTTGCGAAATCCAGAAATTGTACCACTTGGGGTTTCCATGGGAAGCCATTGCTTTTTGGGATTTACAGGGGAATCGTCCTTCAACGATTCCTTAGGTGGTGCAGGAGTTCGTCCATCCACAGTATGATGGTGCTCTAGATATGTGTTTGCAAAGCCAGCTGACACAAAGCTTTGCGTGTGCACGGGAAACCCACATGAAACTCACAAAATCTCAAGCATCTAAGACTGGATGATGCATGCTGCATGTTTCCAGTTAAGGTTCAAGCTCAACCATCTCCGCCATGTACCACCTTGCTTGTTCTTAGTAGACGGGCAACCATTCAAACCTGTAATTTTGGCCCGTCGCCTGCTCTCAAGCAAAAAGAGATCCTTCTCCAATTTTTAGGATGGCCCTCATGGTGTCGGAACCTGAAGGTGACAGGCGCATAACATCCAAGGCTCACAGGAGCCAGGTAGCCCGGCTGCCCCAAGGCTCAGCACTTCGTTGAATTCAAAGGGAGCCCCACCTCCATCTCCCTTGACCGAAACTCCGAGCCGAAACCTCGGGAGCCGAACCCTCTCGCATCCGCCTGGGTGAAGGACGGGATCAAGGAAGGGCCCACGCCGGTGGAGGCGTTGGTGAGCACCTCAGTGACCAAAATGCAGTCAAAGGGTTGGGTTACAGGAAGAGCCGGATTTGCAGCAGTCAAAGGGGTGGGTTACAAAAAAATATGCAGGAAAACACGAGGAAAACCCATTTCCTGTAGATGTTAGTGTAACCAATCCCTTTGCATCAGGGGTCAGTGGTCACATGCTATGACCCTTGTAATGAATAGTTGTCAATAAGGCCTGCCCAAAAGCCCGGAACTTCCCCGGAACCTGCCTGCCTGCCCCCTGCCCCACCCAGGATTGGCGATTCGAGCCCATAGCTGTCGCCGAAGGCAAGATGCCTTTGGAGCCTTCGAGAAATCAAAAAGCTCAAAGTGAGTTGGTTCTTAGTATCCTCATTGAGTTGTTACCCACTCCGGCCACTGCCTCCCAGGAACCTCGAGGGCCACAAGGGAGTGGGGATGACCAAACCGAATCAAGGTTCCCTTGGACAGGGGGAAACCCCTTGGTGAGTTATTCTATTCACTCACATTTCGTTATGTGCGCGTTTCTTGTTGAAGTCTGGGGCATGCATATTTTGGGTGCCAAGATGAGAAGGACCCAGTCATGTAATCCGCAAGCAAATCCACGACATTTCTTGGTGGCCACCCAACAAGTTTGTCCCGTCACCTGTGTTGTTGCCAACAATCAAGCTGACCCCTCGCACGCACACCAGAAGGAAAAGAGCCCCTTTTGTAACCCTCGGCTCAAAAGAAGTTGCCGTGGTTTGAGAGCCTTCCATGTTGACCCCAGATTAATATAAACCAGACGGATTTCTAGAGGGTGCTTCCTCAAGAAATGCGGATCCCCTCCAAAATGGGCCCACCTCCCATGAATCAAGCGGGGGGGGGGGGGGGGCTAAAGTCACTGAATTACATTAAACATGGGTGTGGCTGAAACATTGGGGCCAAAAATAGAACGCTCTTAACTCATGTCAAGAGTAAACTTCCTCTGTAGAGGTTCCTTTTCCTTCAGGGGTTTCTGGCCTCTGGTCAGGGCCAAAAAACAAGGGATTGGGACAACTGGCCAAGAAGCAATCCGGAAATGGGGAGCCGGCATGGAACCCTTGCCTTCCAACCAATCCACTGGGCTACGCTGAGACAACTTTGGCTGAAAGGGAAAACAAACAAGGCAAAAAGAGAGAAATGGTACATACCAACGAAAGAGCAGAAAGGGTAGACCAAAGATGACCAAAGGGTAGACCACAGGGCTAGACCAAAACTGCCTGAGATGGTAGACCAAAACTGCTTGAAACCTCGGTCGACACGACACGGGACAGGCCGCCGAAAACCGAGCCGAAGGTGCCATGAAGAAGAAGCCCACCATGGCCAGACGGCAATGCTTGATCTCACGCAGCTTCATGTTGTTCCACTCCTCCCCAGGAATACGAGTTGTTCGCTGGTTTAAAAGGATGATAGATACTCTTTCAGGTCGGTTTAAAAGGACCCCAAATAGAAAACGGGTCCACCCGTTTGGCTGGGCCGTCTATTTTCACACATGCCCGATTCCAATTCGAGCGCATGGGTTTTGAGAAGTGCAAGAAATCAGGATACTTAGATAGAGCCTGGGTGTCGCTTCCCTACATCCTTTCTTAACTGTGGTCGTTGGGGTTTTGTACCCAGCGCTGAAGGGATTTCCCCGTCCGAGTTCGCCATTGCAGTTTCAGATGCCGAGACTCATGGAAACTGAAACCCCAGGTAGCCCTCCATGGAACCCGCCCGGAAGAAAATGGTCTTGGACCTTTGCAAGGCATGTTGGACGGAAGGGGTGCCAAGTTCCCACAAATGGAAGCCTACATCGCCAATCTCTTGGGTAAGGCTCTGAAAAGAGGCGAAATGCGAGGGTTGCTACCCCTGATAGCCATGGATTGGTCAACACTTAGCTTGGAGCAAGCCTCATTTGGGGGGGTCACTGAAACCGTACATTGCACCTTTGATCAGCTAGGAACACTGGATGAAATTGCATGCCCCTTCCAGCGGTTGGCGACACTGTCTGTTTTGGGCCTGCTTCACCTGCTTGAAGAATCCGACCACGACTAACACAAAAATGAACACTTGGCCCTGATCTCGTCTCCTGAAGCGTTCTCTTTAGCGTGTCTGCGCATCCATTCACATGCACCATGTCCCTGGACAGGTGCTGTTCACGCTTCGCACCCATGGTACATGCTCGACCTCTGATTTCTGGAAAAACTGGGTGTCTTACAAGAGCCTCGCGGCACAGTCTCTCTCCGCGCTCCTGAGGGGTGTACTTGGCAGTGAAGGTGGGGCCAAACCACTTGGGCCTGCAGGCTCCCGCCAAGAGTGCAAGCCAGCAGCGACAAAGGAGGGGCGTGGGTGTGTCTGGGAGGGGGCCCTTTTCACCTTGGCTTGGACCAAAAGCAAAACAAGCCGGAAAACCACAATTGTCGGGCCCCCCCTATTTTGACACATACCCAAATCACACATTACAGGAACAATCTCCTTGCATTTGTAGCAAGCACGCGTCATTCGCCTGGCCAAGCAAGCACACAGCATCAGAAACTGTCCACGCAGTACTACACTTCAGGCTGTCCCCAGTTCCATTTGTCTAGTGGTCCCCACAAAAGGCTTTCATGGAACCATAGTCTAGGTCCTCCAGTAGAGAGGTTAGAATAAGGGTACCATCTTTTTCTGTAGTCTATTTTGGTAGGGGAACCCTCCCTCAAAAAAAGGTTAAAAAAAAAGGGGGCACTACTGGGGGACTTAGTAGGGGTCCCCACAAAGAGCTTTCCTGGAACCAGAGTTCATCCCTGAACCTAATTGCAGCAGGTGAAGAGAGCCCCTGAACGAGGGTTTCTGTTTGAGCTGGACTCCTGCAAAGCTCAACTTCTTGCTGGTTCGCGATTGGACACTTCTGTACACGAGAACCTTACAGGTTCAAGGCCCCAAATCTTGCCTCGACCGAATGACCTCACAACACTCTCAAGTACCGATGTTCCATGTTTCCAGCCTCTCCTGTCTCGGACCAGGGGTTCGTCTGGAGGTTTTGTTTGGTCGCCAAGTCTGCAAGGGTCCCAAAGAAGAAATCACCGCTCCCACAGCCTCCAGGCAAATAGGCTTGAGCGCCTAGAACTGCCTTCATGGCAAAACAGGAAACCTCCCATGTCATGTTCCGATTTTACGAGGCCACACCTGCTTAGCTCGTTTACAACTTGGAAACCAAAGGAAACCAGGGGCCAATTCTTTTGCGCTTCCCGTGAAGGCAAAAATCCCCGGCCTCTTGCCGCCGGCGGGCGCATCCACGTTCCAGCCCAGGTCCCCTGGCTGAACACCCTCACCTTGGCCAATTCGGCCCCTCCGCTTTGGGAGGTAGCGCCCTACAAATCGAGGTGTAAAGCAACGTCAAAGGCGGTCGCTCTGTTGGGTGGGTCAATTCGACCTATTTGGCGATTTGGAGTTAAACCTTTGCTTTGGCGGTTGGCAGTTGCGGGCTAGTTTCCGATTGTTTGCCCTTAACAAGAGCAAGGAATTCAAATCCCACTAGTCTTAGCATTTCCTTGCCATCAAGACAACATCTACCTGGGTCCTCCAGTAGAGAGGTTAGAGTAAGGGTACCAACTGTTTTCTGTTGTCTACTTTAGTAGGGGAACCCTCCCCCCCAAAACGTTGGTAAAAGGGCGGGGACCTAGCTGCAAAAATGCTCTTCTTGTGGAAGCGCTGTATTGCGACCAGGGCGCCGTATTTGCTGATGACGTTCTCGTATCTCCACAGCTCGGACAGGGCGATCACCGTGATGATCTGCAGCCAGCCGATGATGGGCACCTCGCGAGAGTCTGGCGGTCTGAAAGTCAAGGCGCTCGCATGGATCCACTGGGTGTTTTGCTTTTTTGGCCTGGGGGGGTGGGGACAGGGGGATGGAGAAACGCACATCCTCTATCAGGAATAAAAACATGATGTACTATGTAGCACCCACTCCAGTCTTCCAGCCAGGCTTTGAGCCTGATGCTCAAAATCCGATTACGAGGGAACGCCTTTTTGCGAAACCCGGAAAAAGGGAAAGCGCTTAGAAAACTGAAGATGCCCTCCCTCCCACGTTGCCATGGCACCTGTGGAAGATCAAACTCCTCTTGAAACCTGTCGGGTGCCATGTTAGGAGGGTAAGGGATCGCTTTTTGGCAGCCAAGGGCCATGGTGAAAAGTCTTTCTCGGATGGCCATGACCATGTGACACCCCAAATCCGGCGGTCAACTCGACTCCTCGACCCGCCTGAGTGGCTGCCTTCAGGGGGTCCGCGGAGTCTGTGGGATAGCCTCAGAAAATCGCTAAGGCTCTGGCCAATGAGCATAGGGTAGATATATAACAGTGTGTATAATTCTTAATGTATACATTTATGATATATATATATATATACACGTATATACATATACACAAATTCATTGTGCATCTCTATCAATATATATATATATATGTATAATATATATATATATATATATATATATAGAGATAGCCGCCTCACCGACAATATGTCTCTCCTGCTGTTGCAACAACATAGACTCCTTCTTTGTCACATGTATCATGCTCAGTACAAAGAATGAGCAGAAACTTTGAATCGGTGGAATCGCTAGTACTTATTTGCGAGAAGCAGCTGACGAAATTGGACCGCTGCTCACGTGGGTGCTTCTCAAAGTTCGGGCCCCCCGAAGGGGGTCTCTTGTTTTGAGGGTACCCCTTTTTGGTTGGTCGTCAAGTCAAACCACGAGGAACACCACTATTTTGGTGGATTCCCAAAAAATGACAAACCTGAATGTGCTTGATTTCCGTCCTTGTGTGTTCCCCTTAGAAAGAGGCTGTTCCCCTTGAAAAGGAGCCCCTCTTCCTTTCGGTAAAGCTTGTTTGTGGCTTCTCAGGCCTATGTTCGGCCAAGCCCAGTGCCGTTTCCAGCGAGGAACGGGTGATGAAGGGCTCCCACTTGGCGCCGCTGGTCTGGACGGTGAAGCCCAACACCGCCAGCATGCACACGCGGCCGTGGGCCAACTCCGCCTCGCGGTACCTGGGCC